TGTCTGTCTGTCTGTCACGCAACAGCCATCCTGCTGCATAACTGAAACTGGGTCATAGAACAGGGCAATGATCACAAGCTTATTTAATATTACCTGTGTCTACAGGTACAGGTGTTTGCTGTTGAGTTTGTTCCTGTCTTAGATATTGTCATTTGAAAGGCATGTGAGTCAAAAACATTTCCCAACTTTGACCAACTGTTCAATTTGGTTAATAGGGTTTCTGTGTCCTTGAAATGCTTGAAATTGAAACAGACATTTTAGTAGGCAGAGGCACAGGACATGTAAAGTATTTGGTCAAATGTGAAAGAAATCTTTTGAGTCATTCCTGCCAATAATAATTTCAATAATTTGTTGTTTTAAAGGAACATTAGGCTCACATGAGTCACTCACCCTGTTTCTGTTGGTGTTTTGCGTGAGTCCCTTTTCCCCAGCCCAGGTCTGCCACAATGAGGGCGATGGCCAAGAAACCAAGAAAGCCACAGTGGCCACTTTGATGGAAAATATGCTAAGCTGGAAAGCCTGCAATTATTTTTAATATGCTTTCTGTGGTGCATATGTGTTACCATAATTTCCTTCTTACCAATATTATCTGAGTTCATGCAGAAGTCACAGTATATCAGAACTAAGTCAGACAAAGACCCATAAGGGGCTTTCAGTTATACTGTATATGAACATAACTTGTATTTGTCTTGTGGTAACTGATAAGCGGCTCTGTGGTTTTATGGTTATCTGCAGATTTCTGTGAAGTATCGGCACACCCCCTTTTTTTAAAAACACACACAACCCCCCCCCCCCAAAAAACCCCCAAAAAACCCAAAAAACTTCACATTCTGCATCAACTTTTTAAAAATTGCTATTCACCAGGATTTTTGAGAAAGGGAAAGACTTACCTGTCTCTTTATTAATGAAGATCGATTCTTAAAAGCTTCGGATAATGAATCCAACAAGTCCTTTGTAAAAGTGCTCTGAATGGATCTGAAAACAACAAATCTAGTTGCCAGAGACCTGGCGGTTGTGGCCCCAGATGTGGTTGTTGTTGCTGTTGTTGTACTTATTGAACTGAGAGTGGAAGTTGTTGAAGCTGCTGTGATAGTTATTGGAGCAATTGTGGTAAGAGCTGGGCTTCTTGTCGTGGTTGCTGTAGCAGTTGCAATAGTTGCAGATGAGATTATTATTGGAGCTGCAGTGGTGATTGTTTGAGCAGATGTTGTTGTTGCAGCTGTTCTGGTGGTTGTTGGAGCAGTTGTATTTGTGGGTGCAGGGTTAGGGTTAGTTGTTGCAGAAGCATCTGCTGTGGTCGTTGTTTGAGCTGATCTAGTAGTTGTAGGAGCTGATGATATTGTTGTGGAAAGTGCTGTGTTGGTTGTTGGACCAGCTTTTGTCGATGTTGTAGCTAGTGTAGTGATTTTTGTAGATGCTGTAGTAATTGTTGTAGCTGGCGTGGTAGTAGCTGAAGCTGCTGTGGTGGTTTGAGCTGCCGTAGTAGTTGTTGGTGCCGCTGTGGTACTTGTTGCAGCAGCTGTGGTGGTAGTTGCAGCAGCTGTGGTGGTCGTTGGAGCTGATGTTGTCGATGTTGTAACTGGTGTGGTAGCAGTTGTAGCTGCTGTAGTGGTTTGAGCTGCTGTAGTAGTTGTTGTACCTGGTGTTGCAGTAGTTGCAGCAGCTGTGGTGGTCATTGGAGCTGATGTTGCCAATGTTGTAACTGGTGTGGTAGCAGTTGTAGCTGCTGTAGTGGTTTGAGCGGCTGTAATAGTTGTTGGTGTCGCTGTGGTACTTGTTGTAGCTGCTATAGTGGTTGTTGTAGCTGGTGTTGCAGTAGTTCCAGCGGCTGTGGTTGTTGTTACAGTTGATGCTGTCGATGTTGTACCTGGCGTGGTAGCAGTTGTAGCTGCTGTAGTGGTTTGAGCT